TGGATGGGTGGATGGATGGATGGATGCATGAGTGGATGGGTGGGTGGATGGATGGGTATGTGCCTGAATAGATGGATGGGCATCGGAGTGGGTGCGTGTGTGGATGGATGGATGGATGGATGGATGGATGGGCAAGTGGGTATGTGCCTGGACAGATGGATGGGCTTGGGAGTGGGTGTGTGTGTGGATGGATGGGTGGGTGGATGGATGGATGGATGGATGGATGGATGGATGGATGGATGAATGGATGAGTATGTGCCTGGATAGATGGATGGGCTTGGGAGTGGGTGCGTATGTGGATGGAAGGGGTGGATGGGTGGGTGGGTGGATGGATGGATGGGCAAGTGGATATGTGCCTGGATAGATGGATGGGCTTGGAGGTGGGTGGATGGTTGTGTTGGTGGGTGTGTGTGTGGATGGAAGGGGTGGATGGATGGATGGATGGATGGATGGATGGATGGATGGATGGGTGGATGGATGGATGGAGGGATGGACGGATGGAGGTTTAGAAGAGTGAACAGGTGAGTGGGTGGATGGATGCATGCGTAGATGGAGAGGTGGAAGGGTGGATGGATGGATGGATGGATGGATGGATGGATGGATGGATGGATGGATGAGGGGGTAGAAGGGTGGATGAATGGATGGCATGGTTTAGTAGGCATGGTGAGGATGGGTTTATGGTTGGATTTGATGATCTTAGAAGTCTTCTCCAACCATAATGATTGACTGAATTAATGAATGGGTGAGTTGGTGGATAGGTGGACATAAGGAGGGGTGGGTGGGTAGATGAATGGGTAAGTGGGTGGGTGGGTGGATGGGAGGGTGGGTAGGTGGGTGGACGGATGGATGGATGGATGGATGGATGGATGGATGGATGGATGGATGGATGGATGGATTGCATGGTTTAGGAGGCACAGTGCTGGTGGATTTATGGTTGGATTTGATGATCTTGAAGGTCTTTTCCGACCATAATGATTCTATGATTCTGCGGCTGGGTGGGTGGATAGGTGGATAGATGGATGGCTGGGTGTGGGATGAGAGCACATAGAAGTAGATGCCTGGGTGCATGGATGCTTGTGGAGAGATGGGGGAGGAAAAGGGGTGGGCACATGGATGGATGGATGGATGGATGGATGGATGGATGGATAGATGAATGGATGGATGAATGGGTGGGTGGGTGGTGATGTACGGGGGAGCTCACGGCGGTCCCTGCTCCCTCTTTTTGCAGTGCTCGCCGTGCCGTTGGTGGACAAGGACAGCGGGGCTGTGGTCTGCGTCATCCTGGTGAGCAGGCCACATGTGGGTCCCCACAGGCACCTCCTGAGGGACCCCAGCACGGTGCTCAATGGGGAAGGGGCAGAGGGCCCGGACGCCTGGGTCCTCAYGCCACGGTCCCCCCTTAGGTGCACTGTGGCCCCTTGAGCGATGCGGACGAGCAGAACCTGCGGGCTCTGGAGAGACACGTGAGTGATGCTCGGTGCCCACGGCCACGTGCCGCGCACACACCGGGGGACACGAGGGAGCCCGCGGCTCCCCGTCACTGACGCCACGTGCCCTGCAGACCCTGGTGGCCTGTCGGCGCCTGCAGGCGCTGCAGAAGCTGCAGCCCTGGCCTCGCGTCAGCCTCTCCACCAGCTCCTCGCAGACCTCCCTGGCCAAGGCGGAGAAGGCGGCGAGCAGCAACTACAGCGAGCTGGACTGCAAGATCCTGCAGCTGTGCGGTGAGCGCGGCGCCCGCACCCATGGGTGGGACCCCTTGTGCCGGCGGGACCCCGCGCTCACGACCCCACCTTGGTCCTCCTGCAGGAGAGCTCTACGACCTGGACGCCGCCTCGCTGCAGCTCAAGGTCATCAACTATGTGAGTGGCCAGCGCTGCTCTGCTCAACCCTGGGGCATTGCCTGAGCACCCTTGCTCTGTGGGACACCTCGGAGCTTCATTTAACTGAACCCTCCTCAGAAAGCAACCATCAATAACATCCAGAGTGAACAGCCTTGTTGTAGATATCTGTAGTCTCCAGAGTTAACAGCCTCCCCTTGGCCTTGCAAACCCAGAGAAGGAAACAGAACCTAGTTATCCCCATCCCAGAGGTCCTCTTCTCGCTCTGTAGCATCCTCTACTCAACCAGGGGTAAGGCCTAGAGTGAGCATCCTTGCCCTATCCATCAGTAGTCTCCAGAGTGAACGCGTTCAGCCTGGGAGGAGCTCTGGGTGCAGCAGGGCAGGAGGTGGAAGGCAGGCAGGACCCTGAGGGTGGGCTCTTGGTGGCATCTCTCCGCAGCTGAAGCAGGAGACTCAGTCGCTGTGCTGCTGCCTGCTGCTGGTCTCGGAGGACAACCACCAGCTCTTCTGCCAGGTGGGACACCAGGATGGGATGGGGTGGGCACATGTGGCTCAGGGGGGACGGGCTGCAACGCTCATGGCTCCCGCTGCTCTCTCTTGCAGGTGGTGGGCGACCGTGTCCTCGAGGAGGAGATCAGCTTCTCCGTAAGCGAGCAGAGCCATGGGGAGAGTTGGGCATAGGGGACAGCACCCTGGGGATGGGACCTACGTGTGCTGGACACCTGGGTGCACCCCAGGAATGGGGCTCCTCACCGTCTCCTCTGTGCCCGCAGCTCACCTTCGGGCGCCTGGGGCAGGTGGTGGAGGACAAGAAGCCCATCACCCTGAAGGACATCAGCGAGGTGGGTGCCCGTGCCCCGTGCCACTGCCCCGCATGGTCCTTTGTCCCTCCTCTGTCAGGGACATRGTGCCACCATCCCACAGCGCTTTATCCACAGCCAGAGGGTCCATGTCTTGGGAGCCACCAGCCCTGGTGGTAGAGCAGGGCTGAGTGTCCCCAGTGTCCCCATGGCTGGCCCTGAATCCCAGCTTCCTGGCCAGAACAGCCCGCTCTGCTCCTGGCACCCCATGACCCCAGCACCATGCAATGCCAGCACCCCATATCTACAGCAGCCCATGGCCCCAATGTCCAATGGGTCCAGCACCCCATGGCCCCAACATCCCGTGGCCTTGGAACCCCACTGCAACAGCACCCAATAGCCCCAGTACCCCATAGCCCCAGTACCCAATGGCCCCAGCATCCCACGGGCCCACTGTTGCAGCGCCCAGTAGCCCCGGTGGCCCCAGCACCCACAGCCCCATCATCCCATGGGCCCAGTGCCCAACATACTCAACACCCAATGGTCCAACACCCCATGACCCCAACATCCCACAGCCCCTGCACCCCATGGACCTAGTTCCCAATGGTCCCAGTACCCCATGGCTTTGGTACCCACCGTCCTGGCACCYCATGGTCCTGGTGCCCCGTGGTCCTGGTGCCCCATGGCCCCCACACCCCATGGCCCCCCTCGCCTTTCTCCCCTCTTTCAGGAGGAGCTCAAGCAGCTGAACAACATGCTGGGCTTCGAGGTCACCTCCATGCTCTGTGTCCCTGTCAGCAGCCGGGCCACCGCACAGGTGGTGGCCCTGGCCTGTGCCTTCAACAAGCTGGGTGGTGAGAGGTGAGCGGGGGACACACGGGGTCCGGCCCGGGGGTGCCATGGGACACATCTCAGCCCTGGCTTTCGCCCCGCAGCTACACGGATGCRGACGAGCACAAGATCCAGCACTGCTTCTGCTACACCTCCACGGTGCTCACCAGCACCTTGGCCTTCCAGAAGGAGCAGAAGCTCAAGTGTGAGTGCCAGGTGAGAGAAGAGCAGTTTTGCCATGTCAGGCACCCACGGGAGCAGCTGGCAGTGGTGGGGATGTCACCTCAGGTCCAACCCCATCAACTCCTCTGCCTTATCCCCATCCTCCTTTGAGCAGCAAGAAGGGCAGGCATGTGGTGCCCAGGTGCCTGGATCCCTCGGTTGGTTGCCTGGGCTTGGATTCTCCCATCCTGCCTGTCCCATCTGGACCTCTTGGGTCCCCATCCATGCTTATTGCTAACGTTGACCCCTCTGTCCCCACCAGGCCCTGCTGCAGGTGGCAAAGAACTTGTTCACGCACTTGGGTAGGTGGCTCGGTCAATGCTGCCTCTTGGGCCATCATGGGGCAAGTCCCTGCAGCCTGGGGGAGACCTGGTCCTGGGGGCTGCTCAGGGGAGGGGTAACGTGCACACATGCATGCACACGAAGCTGCAGAGCTACTCTGTACACACGCATGTGCACGTCCACGTGCAGCCTTGCATGCACTTGGGGCCAGCTGCGTGCACACACGCTGCGTGCATGCGCCACATGCGTGCAGAACCACGTGTGGTGCGTGCACACATGCACATTGCATGCATGCACATGCAGGTGCGCTGCATGCCCACGTGTTGCGTGTTGCATGTCATGCTGCACACATGCAGTAACTCAAGCATGCACACGTGCACATGCATGAGCTCTGAGGGCAGCATGGGCAAGCGTGTTGACGACGCTTCTCCTCGCCACAGACGACGTGTCCGTTCTGCTCCAGGAGATCATCACGGAAGCCCGAAACCTCAGCAATGCCGAGATGTGAGGAGCTGATGGCGTGGGCGCTGGTGGGGTGGGGGACCAGGATGCTGCGTGATGTGACTCAACGTGGCCTCTCTTGCAGATGYTCCGTGTTCCTGCTGGACCGGCTCAGCCACGAGCTCGTGGCCAAGGTGTTTGATGGCGGCGTGGTAGACGACGAGGTGAGCAGGACACAGATGGTGATGGGGACAGTGGGTGTTTGGAGCCACTCTGAACCTGATGTCCCCCCTTGGCCTGCAGAGCTACGAGATCCGCATCCCTGCAGACCAGGGCATTGCTGGGCATGTGGCAACCACTGGCAAGATCCTTAACATCAAGGATGCCTATTCCCACCCACTCTTCTACCGCGGTGTGGACGACAGCACYGGCTTCCGCACCAGGAACATCCTCTGCTTCCCCATCAAGAATGAGAATCAGGGTGAGACAGGGCCAGGGTGGCGTTCGGACACCTCCATGTCCCTTCATGAGGTTTTGGTGGCTCTGGTGGCCTCTCTGACTCTCCCACTCTGCTCCCAGAGGTCATTGGTGTTGCAGAGTTGGTCAACAAGATCAACGGGCCTTGGTTCAGCAAGTTTGATGAGGATCTGGCCACCGCCTTCTCCATCTACTGCGGCATCAGCATTGCCCATGTAAGTGTTGGGGACACCCCAGCTCCATGATGGTGCCACCTGGGTGGGCAATGTGGATAGGAGACTCTATCTCCATCCCAGGTTGGTGATGGGGAGAGGAGAACCCATCTCCAYCCTGGAGATGAGGAAAGGAGAGCTTGTCTCCATCCCAGGTTGGTGATGGGGAGAGGAGAACCCATCTCCRTCCTGGAGATGAGGAAAGGAGAGCYTGTCTCCATCCCAKGTTGGTGATGGGGAGAGGAGAACCCATCTCCRTCCTGGAGATGAGGAAAGGAGAGCYTGTCTCCATCCCAKGTTGGTGATGGGGAGAGGAGAACCCATCTCCATCCTGGAGATGAGGAAAGGAGAGCTTGTCTCCATCCCAGGTTGGTGATGGGGAGAGGAGAACCCATCTCCATCCTGTGCAAGGGGGAGAGGAGAGCCTGACTCCATCCTGGAGATGGGGAGAGGAGAGCCCATCTCCATCGCAGAGATCCAGAGGGCCAGCCCCACTCCTGGCCATGCTCATACCTTGCTCCCCCTCCGCAGTCCCTGCTCTACAAGAAGGTGAACGAGGCGCAGTACCGCAGCCACCTGGCCAACGAGATGATGATGTACCACATGAAGGTGAGCCACCATGGCGGGCTAGGATTGGCACTAGGGCAAGGTCTGGGACCTGGTGAGGTGTGCAAATGAGATGTCGAGCCGGTTCCTGCTCCAGTCATGCAATGGGGGCATCTCAGGGGATGCAGGTGGACAGCAAGTRACCAACACTGTTTGAGTCATCCTTGAACCCCATCCGAAACCCCAAAGGAGGTGTTTTTGGGCTGAAATGGCCCAGGAGCAGCTCCASGGGCCACTGGTCTCACCCGCAGGTCTCGGACGATGAATACACCAAACTGCTCAGCGAGGGCATCCAGCCCGTGTCRACCATCGACCCCAACTTCGCCAGCTTCACCTACACGCCGCGCTCGCTGCCCGAGGACGACACCTCTATGGTGAGTGCTGGTGGCCAAGGGCTGGGCAAGGAGGGTCTCCCAGCTCTGTTGCAGCCCCACGTGTGCCCTTGGTCATGTCACCCATCCCAGCACGGGGTGGGACATCTRCAGCAGCAGGACTGCCTGCTATGGCCAGGGCACCTTCCTGCTTGCTGGGCAGAGGTATGGGGGGCCCTTGGCCCCCAGGCTGTCACCACTGTGCGTGCTGTCCCCTCTGCAGGCCATCCTGAGCATGCTGCAGGACATGAACTTCATCAACACCTACAAGATGGACCGCCAGACGCTCACCCGGTGGGTCTCCAGGCCAGGCCAGGCTCTTGGTCCCTTGTGGCATGGTTGGGTTGCTCCTCGTGGGATTTGTCCCCAAAGCACTAGCTGGTGGCATGGGAGGGGATCGGGACATCCAGGTCCCCTTCCTTGGGCATCTCCCCTTGCCCTGTGCCTCAGTTTCCTCCAAATATCCATGCTGTGCGCTGGTGTGCATGGAACAGGGCATGCGCATGGACATGTGGCTGGACAGGGTTGGGGACATGGAGGGGACGTGTCCCCGGGTGCCCTGCTCACCTGCACATGGCCAGGTTCTGCCTGATGGTGAAGAAGGGCTATCGGGACCCGCCGTACCACAACTGGATGCACGCCTTYTCCGTCTCCCACTTCTGCTACCTGCTCTACAAGAACCTCGAGCTGGTCAACTACCTGGAGTAAGGCCCTGCCCGTCCTCATCCTCAGCCCAGGCTGTCCTCTTGTCCCCTTTGCCCAGAGCTCTCTCCCCACCAGGGACATCGAGATCTTCGCCCTGTTCATCTCCTGCATGTGCCACGACCTGGACCACAGAGGCACCAACAACTCCTTCCAGGTGGCCTCAGTGAGTGCTGGACACAAGGAGGGGACACTGCGAGCACTGAGGACRGGTCCCTTGGGGCAGGAGGGACATGGGGACGGGTCCACACACTGATCCCAGTTCCTCTTCCCTGTAGAAGTCCGTCCTGGCAGCGCTGTACAGCTCAGAGGGTTCCGTCATGGAGGTGAGGACAGGAGGGCACCCTCCTTTCCCAGTTGTCCGTGGTCGGGCGGGTGGCAGTGTCGGCGGGTTCCGACCACATCCCGCGCTGCCACCGGCTCCCACAGCGCTGCTTCTCCCACAGAGGCACCACTTTGCCCAGGCCATCGCCATCCTCAACAGCCAGGGCTGCAACATCTTCGACCACTTCTCCCGCAAGGTGCGTGGCAGGCTTCCAGCATCCTCGCGGAGATGTCTGCAGACATCTGCATGGCATGTCCCCTCCTGGACACCCCTCTTTCCCATTGCATCACCCATGCTTCGTGCAATGACGTGCAAAAACCCAGCGTGCTCCTGGTTGGTTTGCCCTGGTCTGCACATCACTGCTGTCAGTGCAAGGTCCCTCTGTTGACACCACTTGGGGACATGGGTGCAACCCCACATGTTGGCGTTGCCCCCGCTTCTYGCTGTGCACATTGCAAGGGGTGCTGGTCTGGTGACACTGGCCACGCTGTCTGCCCTTGCAGGACTACCAGCGCATGCTGGACCTCATGAGGGACATCATCCTGGCCACGGACCTGGCCCACCACCTGCGCATCTTCAAGGACCTCCAGAAAATGGCAGAAGGTGAAGCGGGGCGCCGAGGAGGGCCCACGGGTGCAGTGGGCATCGCCACCACCTCCAAGGCCCTAATGTCCATGTGGGCACTGGCCTTGGGGCTGCGAGGTGGAATGGCATGAYCCAACCATCCCCAAAGCCCTTGTGCAGGTGGCTAGGGGCAGAACGGGCTGCAGGACCCCTATCTCGCAACCCAAGGGTCTCCTCTTCTTGCTCGGCAGTTGGCTATGACCCCAAGAACAAGCAGCACCACAGCCTGCTGCTCTGCCTGCTCATGACGTCCTGCGACCTCTCGGATCAGACCAAGGGCTGGAAGACCACCAGGAAGATCGCGGTGAGCACTGCGCAGCGCGTCGCGCCCGTGGGCAGCCCCGCGTGGGGTCTGCATGGCCCCGTGGTGGGCTGAGGCCGGCGGCCTCCAGYGCTGACAACCTCCTCTGCTCAGCCCTGGGGAGGCCACGTCCGGAGCYCGTGTCCAGCTCGGGGCTCCCAGCACAGCAGGGATGTGGAGCTGCTGGGGAGAGGCCAGCGCAGGGARTGAGGATGATGAAGGGCCGGGAGCATCTGCCCTGGGAGCGAAGGCTGYGAGAGCTGGGGCTGCTCSGCCTGAGGAAGAGGAGGCTGAGGGGGGACCTGGGCAGTGTCCATAGACACCTCAAGGGAGGAGCGAGGAGGACGGGGCGGCCTCTTTGCACTGGTGGCCACTGATGGAACTGGAGGAACCGGCCACAAACGGGAGCACCAAAAGTTCCCCAGGAACTTCAGGACAAAATTCTTAAGAGTGAGGGTGGCCGAGCCCTGGAACAGGCTGTCCAGAGAGGCTGTGGAGTCTGCTTCTCTGGAGACCTTCCCAACCTGCTTGGACACAACCTGTGCCACGTGCTCTAGGTGACCCCATGTGTGCAGGAGGGTAGGACCAGATCACAGAAGGTTCAAGGTTGGAAGGGACCTCTAGAGATCATCTAGTCCAACCTTCCTGCTCTAGCAGGGACACCCAGAGCATGTGGCACAGGGTGGCATCCAGGTGGGTTTTGAAGACCTCCAGAGCAGGAGACTCCACAGCCTCCCTGGGCAGCCTGTTCCGCTGCTCTGTCACCSTCACAATCAAGAAGTTCCTCCTCACCTGGAGATGGAACCTCCTGTGTTGCAGCTTGCGCCCATTACCCCTTGTCCTGTCACTGGCCACCACTGAGAAGAGCTTGGCCTCCTCCTCCCTACAATCTCCCTTCATGTATTTATACATGTTAATATATGACCTTTAGAGGTCCCTTCCAACCTCAAGGRTTCCACCATTCTGTGATTCTCCCCTTTAGGAGCTTATCTACAAGGAGTTCTTCTCCCAGGGAGATCTGGTAGGTGCTGCATCGGGGGGCTCAGGGCATCCCCAGCGTCCAAAGGGGGCTGGTGGCCTTGGGACCCGCTGAGCGCCCACGTGCTGGCACYGCAGGAGAAGGCCATGGGCAACCGCCCGCTGGAGATGATGGACCGGGAGAAAGCCTACATCCCCGAGCTGCAGATCAGCTTCATGGAGCACATCGCCATGCCCATCTACAAGTGAGTGCCCACCGCTGCCCTCCGCATCTTCTCGCTGTGGGTCCCTCCAGCACGGCTCCTTCATGCCTGGTGTTGGGGTCTTTGAGGGTCTGCAGCTGCATGGGTGCAAGGGAGCTGCAGCTGCATGGGTGCAAAGGGTGCTGCAGCAGTGCGGGTTTCTGCAGCAGTGTGCATGCAAGGGATGCTGCAATCACGTGGGTGCTGTGGCCACTTGGGTGCAAGGGGTGCTACAGATGCGTGGGTGCAAGGGAAGCGGCAGCAGCATGGGTGCTGCAACACAGTGAGTGCAAGGGATGCTGCAGAAGCATGGGTGCT